GAAAAAAAAAAAAAAAAAAAAAAAAAAAAAAAAAAAAAAACCTACGTTCCGTGTACGAGAAATAGCCACCTAGAGTGGGAAATGTCTGTTGAGCAAATCTTATCCTTAGAGAGAAAGTGGTGGGGAAAAAAAAAAAAAAAAGCCGAATAAATTCTGTTAAAGCAATGAAGATGTTTTTGTAAAATTGGAATCTTACATTACCACTGTAGTTAAGTGTATGCAATCATTTAAATGTCAGTTAACTGTCAGTGAGGTCGTCTCCCTTGTTGAAAATATTTCCCTACAATTGAGTTTTGTTGCGACCCACAATTAGAAACGTGTAACCACAATAAGCTTAGGTCATAAGCGTTCTTTCACCTCTTGTCCTAAAATGTCTGTGGTCGTTGCAGACGATGCAATGGTACTTGGTACTTTGTCACTGAAGGAGGAAAATAAAAATGAAGTTTGTATTATCCTGTAGCATATAGGAAAGTTATGTTATAAGGGACTTAATGTTCACAAAACTTAGTAAAGTTTCTTGAAGTTGACCAAATCAGAGGTTGGAACTGAGCAAACATACTTCACAGGATTAAAAACATAGCTAATTATGCACACTTCTCTACCTCTGCTTCCAAATTTAATCTCATTCCACTATAGAAGGCTTCCAGCAAGGAAGGACCTGTAAAGAAAATTGCCTTCCAGGACTTAGCCCGATGAGAGCAGTTCTAATCATCATATATCCCCACCACACCCCCACCGGCCTGCCCACTTGCCTGCCTGTAGTCTTAGCAGAGTGGCGTCAGGTAGCATTTTTTAGTTCAAGGCCAATCTGGTCTATATAGGCAAAGTTCTGGGCAAGCCAGGGCTACATAGTGAGACTCTGTCTCCAAAGGAAAGAAAGCCTTCCTAAAAGCCAAAATCCTGCAATCCAAAGATTTGCAAACTAAACAAAATGCAAATAGATGAGTCTAAGAAGAAAGGCCCTAGGACATCCACCTCTAATTACTGAACTCCAACAAATGTGTACTTTTGCCAAGATGGCCATCCTAGAGATGTGCAGAGTATATCAAGTACAGTTGAGCACACTGGCCTAGGGCAGTTGGTCTCTCTGTCCAGTTCTTCAGCTTTTCCTGTTTCTTCTTGCATCCCATATCTTTTGTCTACCTCTACAGTTTCTGATCTTTCCCTTCCCCACTAGTGTGTGCTCATCTTCAATCTGTTGTTTGCCTGTGGCTTACTTTCCCCTGGGCTTTATCTTGGAGTCTACTTTCCTAAATATTTGTTCTTGGGATGGTAAGACAGTTCAGCAGGCAAATGCACTTCCACCAAGGCCAATGACCTGAGTTCAGGACCTATATAGTGGAAGGAGAGAACTAAATGTTTCTACTTATTCCTCTCATAATCTTTTTTTTTTTTTTTTTTTTTTTTAATAATTATGACCACTTTACTTGATTTTTTGGGTTTTTTTTTTTTTCCTCTTATAATCTTATTCCTGTATTTCATTTTCACATGGCTTAAAGGAATAAAATGTTACTCGGCTATTTCCATTTCCTTACCTTCTTTTAACTACTTACTCAGCTCCCTGTAGTTCAGCTTCTGATTTCTCAGGATATCTAATGGTCAGAAGTATATCTTAGTTTCGATTAAAAAAAATCTTGGGGACTGGAGAGATGGCTCAGAAGTTAGGGAGCACTGGCTACTCTTCCTAGAGGTCTTGAGTTCAATTCCCAGCAACCACATTGTGGCTCACAACCATCTCTTAAGAGATCTGGTGCCCTCTTCTGGTGTTTGAGTGTGCAGAACATTGTGAACATAATAAATAAATTAATCTTTAAAAAAAAATCTTGAATTTACAAGATCAATGTGTGAAGATTAGATATAATACATATTTATACCTTAAGCTAAGATGTAAGTTAATGTGTTCTCAATTGAAAGTGGAAGTTTTTAAGAATTATCTTGCTGATGTTAGCATTGAAAAAAATTTGAGAAATTGAAAATATTCTGACAGTGAGGGGGTACTAGGCTTACAGATGTAAAGATAACCTAAAGTAACAGGCAAAAGTGAGGATCAGGTAAAGGAGAGGAGGCTCAGTGATTTTAAAAAGCTTGCTGTTCTTTCAGAGGACCTGAGTTCAGTTCTCACTAGCTGTAACTCTAGCAGCAAGGACAGCAGGCAGGGATGCCAGATCATGTTCACATTCAGAATCTTAGCATTTGACATTTTCCTCTGGGCTCCATGGACAGTTGTACATATGGCACATACATGCAGGCATACATACACATAAAAATTAAAAAAAAAAAAAGAATCTACTTTAAAATAGACGAGAAAACAATGATACAAATGTTACCTGCTAGTCATAGGATAATTAAACAGTAAGTGATGACCAAATGCTTAGTTTTTTAAGTGGTCTGCTTTAGCAAGAAAATACTTAAAAATATAAGAAACAAGGATTATATGAATGTGTAGTTACCAATTGCTTCTCTGTTATTTAGCCCAGGGACACCTTTGCAGTCCTGATGTTCTAAGTTTATATTAGCCATTCCATCTTTACAAACCTCATGATGCTCCAGGCTGTGGCGGCTCATGCCTTTCCTTTAATCCTATCATTCAGGAGGCAGAGGCAGGTGGATCTCTTCGAGTTTGAGGCCAGCCTGGTCTAAAGAGTGAGTTCCAGGACAGCCAGAGCTACACAGAGAAACCATGTCTCAAAAAACCAGTTTCTACTGCTTTGCCCTCAAGTGCTTTATTTTAGCAGCTCCTGAAATTAACTGAAGAACTCGAGGTTTGCAAGTATGCATAGAGCTTGAGAACATACCTGGGTGGGATAAACCCATGCCCTGGATAGCACTCAGAAGTTCCTGCTCTTGAAGGAAGTTCCTACTTGTCTGCACTAAACATCTGAGAGCATTGTAGCCATGGACTACAAGGAATGGTGGCAGCGGCTGCAAAGATTACTTCGCAGTTAAGAGCACCAGTCTGCTGCTACAGAGGAGTGGAGGGCAGTTCCCAGCACCCACTCTTGGGAGGCTCAGAACTGCTGGGAACTGTGCGTCTGAGGACACCTGCTCTTGTGCCCACACGCATACACACAATTCAGATGCATGCATACATACAGAAATGGTTGTTGGCGATTGCTTCAAGAGGTTTTTAAATACTAGAATGTTTTCCAAATTAGGAAGTCTGAGAAGTGGGAGGCAGCCAACTTAACTAGGAATCAGTGATTTCTGCTATCAAATCCTGACCTTTTTTTCTTTTCTAGGACGTATCTCCCTTACTTCATCCCTGAAACTGCCTCTCTAAACTGTTTAAATGAGAATGTCCTTGGCTCAGAGAGTACTCCTCACCTGGCTTTTCACATTACTCTTCCTGATCATGTTGGTGTTGAAACTGGATGAGAAGGCCCCTTGGAACTGGTTCCTCATATTTATTCCCGTCTGGATATTTGACACTATCCTTCTCGTCATGCTGATTGTGAAAATGGCTGGACGGTGTAAGTCTGGCTTTGACCCCCGGCATGGATCGCATAATATTAAAAAGAAAGCCTGGTACCTCACTGCGATGTTACTCAAGTTAGCCTTCTGCCTCGCACTGTGTGCTAAACTGGAACAGTTTACTACCATGAATCTTTCCTACGTCTTCATTCCTTTATGGGCCTTACTGGCCGGCGCTTTGACAGAACTTGGATATAATGTCTTTTTTGTGAGAGACTGACTTCCGAGTACATTGTCTCATTTCTGTTGCTGCTCAACAAGCTATTCAGCGTTCTGATTCTTTGGAAGTTTCAAGAATTACAGAGAACTGAGGGAAAATACCAGTGTAGTCTCAAAATACTATAAAACAGGATTGGTGAGGCGTGAACTTGTAACCAACCCAAAGCTCAATTATTCAGTATTTGAGTTATTGGTATCTTTATTTTCCCTGTGTAAATAAAGCTTGTTTCTGACCTTATTTTTCCACATGCCTCTTAACTTGTGTGTGGTCAGGATGTAAATACAAAGCCTTTAGTTACATAACTGTGTGTGAGTTTACTGGACTGTAGTTCTGTATAACAAAGTAAATATTTATGCTTATAAATTATGGAAGAAAAAACTTGTATGGAAATGTTTTAAAGGATGCCACCTCAGGTCCCAGGCAGAGTCTTATATAGGATAGACTTACTTTGGGCTATTCCTACTGCTTAGGATCAAAGAGCTGCCTATTACTGAAGTTAGGGGAACTTTCCCATTCTGTCAGAAACCAGTTGTGCCCATTTGTCCTGGGAGTCTCAGACATAGTGCCTCGTTCACTCTGAAGGTGTTCAGATTTTTATGTGGCTACCATAACAGGGTACTTAAGCAATACCAGTAAGATCCAGGTAGCAATACTTCAGAAAAGTTTGGATCTGAAGCATTTCAAAACCTAAAAATAAAGAATTCTTTTGTTTTCCTTTTGTGTGTGCTTGCATGAGTTCATGTGCACTTTGTGTGCGGCAGCTCATGGAGACCAGAAGAGAGCCCAAGAGCCCCCAGAACTAGGGTGGGGAGGCTGACACTACCTGGGTACTAGAGTCAAACCTGGGAATCTCTGTAAGAGCGGCAAGTGTTCAGAACTGCTCAACCTACAAGTACTTTCAAATTTCTCAGATTTCTTTTTTAATTGTGTGTGTGCACGAGTGGGCATGTACAGGAAAATGCAGGTGCTTGCAGAGCCAGAGGTGTCAGATTTCCTGGAGCTGCAGTGTACAGATGCTTGCCTCAGGTTCTCTGTAGGCGCATTATCAGCTCTGACCCACTCAGCTCACTCTAGTCCTTAAGAGATTTTGTCCTACGTAGCTCTGACTTTTCGCTCTGACAGCAAACTCAAATGGCCATTTTGGTGTTTTAAAGGCTCTAAAATGGACAGAGTGTGCTGATGCATCCTCAGATAGAGGTGCAGAATTTTGAGCTTGAGGTCAGCCTGCCCACAGAGACCCTATCTTAAGTCTCAACACAGATGATTGTTTTCTCACTACTGATGGAGAACCCTGTGTGTGGTGGATGCCGCTGTGTGCGGGTGTTTATGCATGTCTATTGGAGCCAGAGGTCAACACCTGTTGTCTTCCTAAGTTGCTGTCCACCATAGGTGGTTGTTGTTTTTTGAGACAGGGTTTCTTTGTGTGGCCTTCGGCTGTCCTAGAACTAGCTTTGTAGACCAGGCTTGCCTCATAGAGATCCACCTGCCTCTGCCTCCCAAGTGCTGTAATTAAAAGGCATGCGTCACCAGTTTTTGAGACACGATCTCTTAACAAACCAGGAGTATGCCAGTTGGAGAAAATGGTTGGCCAGTAAGTCCCCTGCAGCCAATACCCACTGTGTCCACCACACAACTGTCTAGCTTTTACGTAGATATTGGGTATCCAAACTCGGGTAATCACTCTTCAGCAGCAAGTATGAATCCACTGAGTCATCTTCGAAGGCTCCCAGAAAATTATGTTAATAAATTTCTTCCTTTTAAATATAGATAACAAAAACAACCACACACCACAAAACAGCTCAAGTTATATTAGACTTTTGACACTAACGAGCTGACCAAATAAAATCTAGTTACAAGCATCTCCCTGTCATGTAACTGGCCATGTCGTATTTGAGTATCAAAAAATAGCAGTCATAAAGATATTACTTGGATTACAGGCCTGATGAGATAACTCCAAGTTTAATTGAGAGATCCAAACTGATCTCTGAAATATATGATTAAGTAAATGAAAATAAAGTTCTTATAATAAGCAAGCCAGAGAATCATTTAGTTCAGATAAAATTGTTTAAGCAATGTCCTAACTATAAACTCTTCAAGAGGAAAAAAAAAAAAGTAGTAAGTCCTTTCCCAGAACTATTTGAACAAGAAAGGGAAAGAAAGCTAAGAAATATATGCAAAAGGCAACACAATAACCCACCTGCTTACACATGAGGATAAAACAATTTTAGTGGCCTTTGAATGGTTCTCAGTGTAGAATTTTTCTCTTGTATGACATACTTAAGACAGCACAATAAGTTAACATATGCCTCAATAACAATTTCAATTATTAAGTCATGAAAACCATTAAAAAGAAACAATGCTTACAGGTGGGAAGAAATAATATTACACGAAAAATGCCTTTCTGTGTTCCTTTTTATAAGCAACTTCCTTTATAATACAGAAATATTTACTAATAAAATACAGGTAACAAACATTAGAGCCATATTACTGAGGCCATATTCCTCAAGTTATGATAGATATGATAGATATATAACTTATGGTTAGCACTTTAGACTGAGCAAAATTTTGGTTATTTCTAAGAGCAATCACTAAGCAAACAACTTCATGAAGTGTTAGCAAGTTGTGATCTGTGAACATCTCTTTCCCCTCGCTATCTATGAAACAAGAACAGCCCACTAATGGAGAGTTCTCAAGTACCAAGGAGAGGTATGTGCTTGGAATAGGTGTGAGCATCTTTAACTTAGATCACACAGTGTCCCAGGATAGCTATGAACATATTCTAACACGTTTGTCGTGACAAGGTCAGATAAGTTTACCAGCCTTAAAAATTTGGCCTATTTTCCACTTCGCTTTTTTACAGTTCAGCAAGTAAGTAGAATTAATATTAATAAACAGAGCTAATAGGGAAAGAAAAGTACATTTTCATCCATAAAAGGGCAGGCACATCCCTAAGAAAAACAGGCATTTCTCTTTATTGAATGAAATGGTCAATCCCTTTAGCACCAACAAACTACCAAAGGAATTTAATATTGGTTTGTTATTCACAGAATAAGCACAAAATTGCAGTGTCTGGTGGGCAGGACAGAGAGGAATGCCAACTCATAATGGAAAAACTACACCCAAGACAAATGAATAAAGTCATGGTTTCTGATGAACAGAAGAGTGGGGCACTGGTGACGGAAGGGTAAAGTTTAAAAGAAAATGTACTTCATCAAACACTAGCTTGGTAACATTTTTTTCCTGAGCCTTACACTAGTTATTTTGTTTGTCCTGTATTTGTTAGTCATATTGTATCTTACGGCAGTTTTCTGCCACTACCTATCATCTATGTAGTCACATCCACTGTCGTTAGGCAGTCTGTGGCATGACTTTAAATGTCCATGTACTGCCACACCTTTACCTCGACTTCCCTTTCTCCTTCCGTATGCCCATCCTTTGCCCCAAACTGGAGCCAAACATAAAGGAAATTGTTTGAAAGGCATTAGTGTGACCCAGAACACAGCTCTTAATAACTGTTCCACTTTAATTCCAGCAGCAGAAGCTAACAGTTTGTAAGCCAAGCAATGTGCTAAAGCATTTGTCATGTTCTCTCATTTAACTTTCAACAATCAACAAAGTGGTGTTGCGTGTGCAGAGGTAAGAAATAGTGAGGCGGCTTTCTCAGGGTTATAAGAGGCTATTTATTTCCTTTAACATATTTGTTTTAAGCCTAGCTATAGTTCTACAAATGTGTACCCAATATTTCAGTGAAGTGGCTCTACAGGATTGACGAAAACTGTTTCACTTTTATGTGCATGCCCATCGCCTGAGACAAATGGGTACTGACAAAAAAGAAAAAAGTGTGCAGTTGTCATGATTAAGACTTAAAACTAGTTTAATTTTCCCGCAGATTACATTAAGTTGATGCTTATATGATGCCATTTTAATCATTAGATGCAGTTAAAAATCTAATCCCCACCAGGCAGTGACAATGTACCCATTTTAATCGCAGCATTCTGGAGGCAGAGGCAAGTGGATCTCTGAATTTAAGGTCTGCTAGACTATATACTGAGTTCCAGGACAGGCAGCGCTACACAGAGAGACCCTGTGGTTGGAGGCGGACGGGGTGGGTGGATGGAAGACATCTGAGTTTCATGCCAGCCTAGTCACATAGCAAAGCAATTATGTATGCCACAGCTACATAATGAGACCCTGTCTCAAAAGAACAAGGGGAGGAGAGAGCCTTAATTTGTAATGATTTTCAATATTCTCAGAGGAACTAGCTGCAAAGGTTGGGGGGACAATGACTGTCTCACAAGTTTAACACATGAGCTCCTTTCTTCAAACCAGAGCCCTACATTTCAGTTCCTAGGTTAAATGTTATACAAAACACAAACTTGGGTTTCTCCGCAGTGCTTATGCAATTTTCTCAACTTTTCCATTGAAGTCCTGGAATTATATACAGGAATTGAGTTTTTAAATTACAAAAACCTGTTCTTCTGTTTCCTCAAACATTTATTGAATACAAAGTATACTATGTGAGATGTTGTGTGTAAGAGAAAGAAACAAGACTTTGTTTGTGGTTTAACAAGAGCCCAACATACATTACTAATACGTATGCCAAATCTGTACTCTGAAAGCACAAGATTGCTCTCCATAAGCTTACAGAGGCAACGTCAGTAAAGAGGTGGCATTCTAAAGGAGTACAACATTTCACTGTGCTGTGCTCCGATAGTTCCTCAACAAAGCACATGAAGGGCATGGCAAGCAGAGTCAGCTCTCTATGGCCATAGGAGTTCCTTACCCACAGATCCAACCAAGTCTAGACTGAAAAGAAATGGGAAAACTGCATGCATCTGCTCTGAACATACAGACTTACTATCCCTGAAAAGAAATTTTACATGGTGTTTACATTATATTAACTATTATAAATAGCCTAGAAGTGGTCTAAGGTATGTACAGAAGTTATAGACAAATATTTATGTAGAATATCTATATAACATCTGAAGATCTAGGTACACAAAACAGGTCTCAGAACTAATCCTCCAGGAATACCTTGAAATGACTCTACACTATATATTTGGTGAGGCTGAAAACTGACTACATCAGATGGAAAATACTGTAATATTTGAGGCTGGGTAGAAAGAATATATCATAAAAGCTCTTCACTGCCATACTAAACTGTATGGCTGTTACCGTTAGAAAAAGAACCACCATGGAATATTTCTAAAGAGAAAAATAAAAATCCTCTTTAAAAATAATTTATCTGGGTAAAAACAGAATAGCCTGGGATTGTGAAGGCAGAGGACTAGGGCGCCCCAGAAATTTTCAGGCTACTGAAAGCGTCCACGTGGGACATCCACCCGCTGTGGCTACCACGCTATATGAACTAAAAACACTCCTGCAGTCATCGCATTAGGTAGGTGGGAAAACAAAAGTTGGTGTCCTGAGAGATGACAATGTAGGTGGAGGTGCCCCTAGAAAAGGGAGAAAAGGAACAGCTGATGCCTGTGGTGAAGGGGGCACACAAACTAGATCTAGCCACATGATGATTAAAATTTAAGTAAAAACCTGGCCACCTGGAAGTCCTGCAGCCAGAGATAACCTGAGGAATGGAGCTTGAGGACTAAAGCAAAGCACACCCCAGCACTGGAAACCCACCACCACTACCAAAAGAACAGATCTAGAGCTCTAAGAACAAAATGCTCAGTGCTGCAGGGTTAAACGAAAGCACCAAGTGTCATGACTGGAACTGGCAGTAAATGGCAACCTTTGGGAATACCATCTCTGCTGAGGGATTGAGAGTGAGACTTTATAGGCTGGAGTCAGTACAGAAGAAGCAGGGCTCCTCCGTTCTGAGGACTAGGGGAGGGAGATGAGGGGGAAGAAGGGAGGGGCCTATGATGGGGATATAAAGTGAATAAATTAAAATATAAAATAGTGAGGATTAAAGAAAATGTACAGTGAAATGAGGAAAGATAAGGAAATTTAGGCATACATTTTCAATTTATAAAAGTCCAATTCAAGAAAAAGGATGTTTCTAAAGACAACAGATGAGATGTTTCACATAATAATTTGGCTCAAGTTAAACAAAATTTCAACATTCTATGAGGACAGGGACAAAACTGTCCAAGTTAATTTTGGGATCACAGCTCTTGTATTTTCACAATAATTGGAGGCAGATCATAGTGAAGAAACATACAAGTGACTGGAGAAATGGCTCCGTAGCTAAGAGCAACTGTTGCTTTTCCAGAGGACGTGGGTTTAATTTGCAGCACCTACACAGCAGCTCACACCTGACTATAACTCTAGTCCTAGTGGGTCACACAAACAACCTTTAGGGGATAAAATGATTCTTTCATGGGGGTCTCCCAAAACCATCAGAAAACATGTTTACATTTTGACCCCTAACAATAGCAAAATTAGTCATGAAGTAGCAACAAAAGATATTATAGTTAGGGTCACCACAACATGGGGTGACCAACTATATTAAAGGGTTAGTTGCAGCATTAAGGTTGAGAACCTCTGTCCTAGGGGATCCAAAGCCCTTTTCTGACTTCTCTGATCACTGTACACAGAGATAGACAGATATACAAGAGATGCACAGGCGCACTGCAGGCAAAAGCCCATGCACAGAAAGTAAAGGGTTTTTAAAAGACACTAATACATTTTGCTTACAGTATCTAGTTAACATAAATTTTACTTGCCTATGTATTTCTCTCAGCTTCGTCATATTCTTTAATTGGGTGTAAAGTCCTAGACAAGCTAGAAAGACAAGCTGAAATATAGGACTACGCCCACCTGCACCTTGGTCCTTGCTGTTTCAAAAGACAGTGGATACAGACACAAATAGGAACTTTCAAGGAGTCTGAGACTAAAATATAATGTCAAATTCAAGAAAATAATTACAAAACAGGTAAGATTGTGGTTATCAATCTTAGTATTTATTGAAAGGTGGAAGACAAGGAAAATAGCCTCTCAAATGCCAAAAACAAATCTGTACCTTGGCTAAATATAAATAATTGCTTTACATATCAATAAACTGTCCCTCCCTACCACCCCCCCCCAAAAAAGCTGAAAGCAAGTTTACCAAACAATGCTAATTATTTACAAAAAAAAAAACAAAAAAAAAAACCTTTACCTGCCATAGAACTGAATCTAGAAAAAAGTTCTTGTGTGCATTAATTAAATTCTTTAAACATTTAACCTAAAAATCTTTCCTATCCTCAATTTGCTATCCCTCCCATTTTGGAGACAAACATATTTCAAACACACCTATACAGAAATGCACACATACATACAATACACAGTGTTGTGCTAAACCAACCTGATCATTAAGGTCAACAGTTTTTCATAAGGAAGATAATCAATATATGGCTTTAAGTAAATTTGCAACTAAATATCAAAACGTTTAATTCTTTTGATAGCTAACCTGAGTATGGGATATATACTACTTAGACAGCTAAGAGGATATAAATAAAATTTGAAAAAAAGAGGGAAAGAATATATATATTTCAAATACCACTGAGGTATCTAAGTTTTTATGTAAAGGTCTATATATCACTTCATAATTTATATGACATTAACTTTATATAGCATATGACCTTATTAAAACTATATCTTGACTGTTTTATTGTTCTGGTCCAAGATACTGGAAATAAAAACAAAACTGCTATATTCACATGGAGAGGAATGGGAGTGCACGAACTAGAAAATCATTACTATGTAATATTAAAATAGGAATTTGTGTAACAAAGGTAGTCAACAAGTTTTCAGATGGCATCTGAAGAGGATTTTTAAAAATAACCCGTAAGACCAGGGGCATAAGCATGATTCAAGTCTGTAAGGCCTTATCTTGGAATCTGAGCCTGCTGGGTCATACACACCTCACCTTCACAGAGATGTGTGCATCTGACAGAGCAGTTACATCTTCATGGAGAGCTGTGCAACTATGGGTTACATAAAACTACACCTAAAAGCAATAGCTATGCTGTTTCAGATATGCCTTCCTTTAAGTTAAAACTTAAGGCTCATAGAGTTTGGAGACACCCTAACAGCATTTTCTTACAGTATGACCTCAGTGTGTCTACATATATGTGACTGGAAGTATCACTGTCAATTTAAAAACTAAACTCCAACAACATCCCTTCCTATTTTTCAATACTTGTTTGTTAAGAATATTTTGTTTCTCATCTTAATATGGTGAAGAACCCTAAATTTAGCTTAAAGCAGATAAAGTTAAATAGAAAACAAAACCTCTATTTACACTGTCATGATTTTTAACTTCTCTGTTTCCATGAAACTTCTGCCAGAGCAAAATGCCTGAGTTCCTCCTGGAAGCCACCAAGATTTCCTATTTTATTTGCCTATCTTCTAAATCAGGAGACAAGACTCTCACTGTTGCTGATGTTTATTTCTATCAGTTCTGGTAAAATATATTTTCCTAAGTAGTTTCTTACCAACTTAGAAGCATGAGCTTTGATAGCTCACCAAAAATGAGGTGAAAATGGAACCCACTGAAATGGAAATAGTATTCTCCCAAAAGGCAAGGCAGGGAGAGACAACTGAAAGTCATCATCAAGGCAGGGGCCCAGGATAAGACAACGAACAAAACGTTCACGATGATTAGAGCTCCTTCCGTCCACACACACATCAAATACTTTAACTTTTAATGATGGAAGTGAAGCAGGCTGCAACTGTGCTGAAGTCCACAGGTGCAGACTTCTTTACTCACCTTGCAGACACGGGCCAGCCTGCTCCCTACACAGTGAACTTCCTAGAGCGTCCTTAGAGGAGGACGTACACCTTACATTTGCCTTGCAGACTGGGGAAGGGTCCTGAGAAAGATAAGCTGACAGTGTCTTGTTAGTTACATCTGTGCGGCAGCCAAGTCACTGTCATTGCCCTTAGTTCAAAATTGTTTGTGATATGGAGAAATGTAGAAGAATACTTTTCGTTACTCACAATTAAATTTTCTATATATCAGTTTTTTACTCAGCTATTATTAAACATACTGGTGCTTATTAGAAAATGTTCTAATCTTTTTACGTACATAACAAGGAAAATTCCACTAGGACTAAGGAATCTGGCCACATTAACTTCATTAATTACAAGGTTAAAAACCATGACATAATTAGTTTCTCCCAGCTTTGAAAACTATTAATTATTTCCTTATTGTTGAACATAAATACTTTAGAATGTATTCCAGGAAGTAGCACAAAGAATTTTTATATATTCACCAATTTAAGAAATTGTGCAAAACAATATACATATATACAATCCCAAGCACACGTGTGTATATACACACAAACACAAAATATATGTATATGTTTTCAACTGAATCCTGGTTTTTTGAATGCTTGTACAGTATGGAAAATTTAAATATTTACGAGATCTGAACATGTACATTTTTCCCTCCATTACGTCCCACATGTATATATTAAAAGAAACATAATATATCAAATAATTAAACTGAACTGTCAGTATGTTTCGCAAACTCAACAGAAAGCATTTATTATTATGAACCTTTATTAAATGGCTCACATCTCAATATAAATCACACTAAAAAGATTTTTAAGCTATTTACACTACAGTGCTGACACATAATGGAAAAAAAGTTGGTATAAATAAGCTCTATGGAAAAACCTTAAATTGTCAAAAAAAAGAATTCTGGCTCATATTACAAAAAAATATATTTATGTGATTTTTGTCAGCTCTATTCTAAAACCTAAAACTCCCAACTCAAATGACTTTCTGGAGACTCCTTTGTGTTTAAACCTGCAATGTTTACAGTGCATCTGGCCCTGGGTGCTGGATCCTTCACAGTTACGGACAGGCACTGAGGAATGGTACAAAGCTACATAAACTATATTTGTAACAGACTTGAGAGCAGTTCCTACACTTGCTTTCAGATTTCATGAATCATTATTACGAATTATTTTTAAAAGGAATTTTAAATGCAATGTACAAATTTAGCACAAATTTTCATCACTTTTATCTTGATTTGAATGTACAGAACTATGTTGGCTTGTATCAACAATATTAGTGACACTTCCAGGACACAATTCTTCCTTTATGTCTTTGTTGGTGTTTTCAAATTTAGAATCCATATCAATCTGAAAATCCGAAAACTGAACATGATCCAACTTTGCCTTAACATTCTTGCCTTCTGTATTATTTGGTGTCCTAGTCTTTTCAGGTATATTAACTTTCACAGGTTCTTCCTTGATTCTTATAGATGCAATAGGTTCATGTTTAATTTGTGGTAATTCATTTTTAGAATGAAGTTTGTCTGGAAACACAGAGTCTGATGAGGTTTGGTTCACAGCACAAATCACGTTCTCTGTGTGAACTCCGAAAACTGATGACATGGGACCTGATGATATTATGTCTTTTTCGTGAGTAACTGTACTGTGACAAGTATCCTCCTCTTCGTGATATAATTTAAGTCGAACATGCCATGCCAGACTGCACACAGCGGAAACTGTCTTGAACTGATGGACAACATTCCTTGGAATAAAATAAATGTCATTATCATATAGCTGAATCCTGGCATAGCGAATGCCTTCTCTCCTCAGCTGATTAAGTTTTGCATCATCAACCCACTGGACACACTAAAAAACAGAAACAAGAATGCAGGTAAGTCTCTTGCACAACAAAATCTAATGAAAACTGGTAATTATTTAAGTTTTACCTGTGACAGTGGAGGCTCGTGTAAATCTAGTTGCATTCGTTGAACTACTTCTAAGAAATCTTCTGCATGAAAACAAATTACATCTTTGGTTATTCGGGGTTGATCAGGCCTGTAAAGAAGGAGGGCAATAATAAAATCTTCCATTAATGTTTCATTCTCTAAGTCCATAATAAAGTCAAATAAAACTCTGCTATGCTTGCAGACAGGAAGCCTAGCGTAACTGTTTTGAGAGGCTTTATCCTTAGCTGATGAAAACAGATGCAGAGACCCACAGCTAGAAAATAGGACAACTTGGGGAGTTCTGTGGAAGAGTAGGCAGAAGGATTGAGGGAGCTGGAGCGGTCAGGGACAACACAAGAAGACCTACAGAGTAAACTAACGTGGGCCAATAGGGGCTCACAGAGACTGAAGAACCAACCACAGAGCATGGACTGGTCTACCCCTACACACATGTAGCAGATGGTTCAGCTTGGTCACCATGTGGTCCCCTAACAATGGGAGTGGGGCTGTCTCTGACTCTGTCGCCTGACTCTGGATCCCTTTCCCCTAGCTGGGCTGCTTTCTCAGGCCTCAGTGGGAGCGGATGCACTTAGTCCTGCTGGGACTAGGGTGCCAGGGTGGGTTGATACCCCTTGGGGGCCTCCCTTCTTTGAGAGGGAGGGAGAGAAAATAGGGAAGAGGGCATGCGGGTGGGACTGGGATCAGGCTGTGAAGTGATTAAATTAATAAATAAATGAAAAAAAAATGGAACATAAAGCAGAGGGGGAAAAGAAGCTTCCTTAATGTCACTTAGTATCAGAAAATAGTGATGAGACATGGCTAAAAGCAATAGGTCTGCTGCACTATGAGCTGCAAAATGCGCTAACAGACTCTTAGCCCATATAACTAGCATGGGAACTCTATACACACGGGAAGTAACTGGCACAGGGTTCTTACAGTCACTCTTCTCCCTTCTTTAGTATGAAGAGATTAAAAAGCAGCAGTGGGCTTAAAGGAGGCAGCTTGCTCCAAGCACTCAGGCTAACTGCTGCGAGGCAGTTCTCAGTTGAACAGACACGGTGACCAACAGCACTGTACTTGGTGTTACTGTATAAAGCAGGACTACAGTTTCTCTTCAATGAACAGTCAGCCTGCATTAGCAGTCCTTAAAAAACTACAATTGCATTTACTTATTTTACGTATGAGTGCTCTCTATGAGGGGTACCATGCACGCCAGAAGAGATCATCAGACTCCAGGGTAGACGGTTGTGAGCCACCATATGGTTGCTGGGAATTGAACTCAGAACCTCTGGAAGGGCAGACAATGCTCTTAACCACTGAGCCATCTCTCCAGCTCTAAGCTACAATTTTTAAAAGCAATTTAAGAAACCAGGCGTGGTGGTGTACACGTTTAATCCCAGCACTCAGGAGGCAGAGGGAGGCGGATCTCTGTAAATTGGAGGGTACCCTGATCTACATAGTGAGGTCGAGGCCAGCCATACATAGTTATATCCTCAAAAATAATTAATTTAATTCAATTTTTAAAAAAGCAAAGAAAAAATAATAAAATGACAGTATGTGCAAAAACCTGGGTTCAAGCCCTAGTACAACCATCACCAACAAAAAAAGCAATAGTGGGAACTGGAGCAACAGCTTAGCAGTTAAGAGCACTGGCTGGTCAATCCCCAGCACCCACATTTGACAGTTCACAATTGTCTGTTGCCCAGCTCCAGAGCATCAGATGCCTTCTAGCCTCAGCGGGAACTGCGCACATGTGGTATTCAGGTGAGATATTCATGCACATAAAATAATAACTAAATCTTTTTTAAAGATCAGTAGTTCTACATACCACTGTCCACAGTGCACAGCCTTCAGCACGCCAACAGCTGCTGTAGTCTGTCGCTCAAAGCCTTGTCCTATGTGATCTGCATGGGCTCTCGTTCTGTCTTCAAACAGCATCTCCCGAGGCTCACTGGTTCGAGGTAGATACTGAAGGTTTTTTATTTCATTGGTAGTTCTGTTTTTAAGAAGTAATATGCATTTAAATACTGAGGCTTGCTTACTTATCAGACACTTCATAATCATAATTTCAGACAAAAGGAGAGGTTTGATTTTTAAAATGAATAAAGGCAAAGAAAAAATACATATATCAGTTCCCTATTCTGGGAAATACCTTTCACACAAGTGATAGGTCCTTTGCACAGGACTGTGCACTTATTTAATGTAATACATACTTCTAGAACAAACATAACTTTTAAATGAATTATGACACGTTTTAGGCCAGTATATAGACATTGAGACTAGTAAAGAAGATTACAGTGACACAGATGAGGCTGCTACTCTTACGATTTCAAAGAAAGAAAAAATAAATTAGCAAGAAAAGGACCAAAACAAGGTGAGTAGGGGAGTTAACAACAACAAAAACATAGTCAGTGACTCTACAAAAGTTTACTCGAGGCAGAAAGGCAGCCTGTAGCTTTGCAAGACAGCCATCATACACTGGCTCTCTTGTCCACTCGCCACTTTCTAGAATTTATAAACAGAGCCTGCTACCCACTATCCTCACACACTGCAGAGGTTATCTCCAGTTAAGTCTACACAATAGGGAAGAAGGGAAACCAAGTCCGGCCAGAAGCGATCATTTTCCTCCTCTGTTGTTTGTTGTTGCTACTCCAGATTCCCCTCACAACTTGCCCCTCTCCTTATTGATCCTCCTGTGAGTCATTCACCAGCTCTCTCCCCTCTCCTGCCTGCTGCTCTTTGTGCATCCCTGCATTAGTAGTCCTTAAAAAGAGTATTTCCTCATATAGAAATTCTAAGTTATACTTTTCACAAATCCTTAAAAAACTACAATTGCATTTATTTATTTTACGTACGAGTGCTCCCTATGAGGGGTACCGTGCACGCCAGAAGAGAGCATCAGACTCCAGGCTGTATATTCTTTTTTGCTCTGTGATTAATATTCTACCTGTGTCAGAAAGTTAGATCATGCTGTTGCTTCCTACAGAAGGCTGACAGACTCTGGGCTGACACCACATTCAAATCCCTCAATACACATACAGCATGCAGAACAGTTATTAGTTGGACAGAACATGCCATAAAAGCATCATGAAGTACATAGGAATTCCTCTAGGAACTGGTGGACCCTTGTAAATTACATCTAAAAGTTCTGTATCTACATTATTCTGGCAGTGGACTTTCTGATTAAACTTGTTTATGATCCTAAAATAAGCAGGGAGTAGTGTCGAATGTTCTGTCCTACACAGGCCCTTGCATATATCCACACACAGACATGTACCCAAACATAAACACATAATTTAAAATTTCTAAAGTAGCCAGGCAGTGGTGGTGCACGCCTTTAATCCCAGCACTTGGGAGGCAGAGGCAGGTGGATCTCGGAATTCAAGACCAACTTGGATCTACAAAGCGAGTTCCAGGATAGCCAAGGCTACACACAGAGAAATCCTATTTTGAAAAACAAACAAAAACTTTTTAACATCTTAAAAAAAAAAAAAAAAGAAAGAAAGAAAAGAAAAAAACCTCTGGAAAACACAATGTTACAGTTGTTACCAAGTTAGAAATTTACTCATTGAAGCCATTATTTATCAAGCAATAGACACTATGTAACAAACCCAACAGAGTCCCTGCAGTCAAGAAACCTACCATTTACTCAGTGACATCTTGTCCTGTTTTGTTTGTTTTGGTTTAGATTTATTCAATTTATTTGCACAAACGTTTTGCCTGCATATAGATAGATAGTACATCACATGTGTGTCTGGTGCCTTCAGAGTCAGAAGGGGACGTAGGGTCCCCTGGCACTAGATGGCTGTGAGCGCCATGTTGTTGCTGGGAATAGAACCTGGGTCTTCTACAAGGGTAATGAGTGACTGATCTTAACTGCTGAGCCATCTCTCTAGACCCTGTTCTACTGTTTCCAATAATCCATGTAACCACTAAGATCATTTTATTTATCTATAGAAAAAAGCCCAATCTTCCCTAGCACCACCAATTCTGTGACCACAAGTTAACTTGGTGTACATTTTCTAACTCTTTCTCCATGTACACACAGTCTTAAAAATATTTTTAAATAATTCTGAGAATGTCACACATGTATAAAATGTATTTTGATCATATTCATCTCCTACTCCTTCCAGATCTACCCCCATGTTCCCGCCTCTTCCCAACTTTATGTCTTCATTTTTAATAACAAAATCCATTTTATGCTGCCAGGAACCACAACCTTAAAAAAACAAAACAAAACAAAACTGGACTCTCCCCCCACAGAAGCCATCGGCTGTCAACAGTTCTTCAGTTAGAAGTCAAGGCTGATGACTCCCTGCCCCTCCATACTAGAATATTAACTGGTTTGATCTTGTGCTGGTCTTCTATAGGCAACCAGAGTTGTTCTGGGTTTATGAATGCAGCACTCTTATATTTCCAGAAGACACTCCTTCCTCAGGCTCCTCTCTGATCTCTGGTTCTTACAATGCTGCCTCCCCATCTTCTAACTCCTTGTAAAGGGGTGTTATTACTGTCCCATTTAAAGCCAAGCACTCCACTGACCCTTATTCACTACACTGGCCAGTTATGAGTTTCTGTGTTAAGCACTGTCTAATATACAAAGAACACATTGCTTTTTGAGCCACTGTTTCTTTTGTAATTTTAAACTTACTATAGAAACTTCAAATTCATTCTCTATAGTGTTAGGAGTACAAGTCCAATTGAAATAAAAGTCCATCAAAAGGACTATCATTCTTCTCCAATCTGGAACACAGTGGAATTTCTGTTTCTCTTTGTGTTATTTCATGTATCTCCCACAGAGTGGGTTAGTTCTTAATACAAGTTCTGAACACTTGTTAAATTTATTCCAAAACAATTTATTTCTCTGTCTGACATCTTTCCACACCTATCTGTAATTTATTCTCATTTGCTTATTTCTCATGTCCCATTTACTGTGATGTTTCATAATCAAGTATATTAGCATGTGGCCTATGTGGGGAATTTTCTTTCACTTATGCTGTAATTTTTTTTCTTCTACAATAGACACACACATACATACATACATACATACATACATACATACCAAGCCATCCTCACTAATAAAAATGTGTACAACAAACCTTTTCCTTTTGAAGGGTGACTTTGGCATATCAGCCACAGGGATCATTTGTTCTCCAGGACGCACCCACATGATGGGACCATCATCACTATCTTTCCGACTCTCTAATTTTAGACTAGATAGTGTTCCCCATGGCAATGTACACTAGAAACAAATAATTACATAAATTAATTACTTTCAAAATATATCTTCAAATACATACTGAAAATACTGCAAGGAGGTATATGTGGGTGAGGGTGGGAAAGAGAAGGGGGAAATAATGTAAGTATATTATAATCTCTAAAGAAAAGATTAAAAGTTGACCTGTAAGCCAGCAGATGGAACAGGTTGATAATTTTTAAAAAATGTTCTCTTATTCTCCCTGTAAGAATCTTTACAATGTACTAATAAATTAAAGGCTACAATGAGACTAGGGGAAGAAAAAAAGTCTCCCTCTTAAGCATTTGAAATGCATACTATATTAACATCTACCTATTTGTTCATATATTTAGCTTCAAAATGTTCTGCTTCAAACAGCAGAAAAACAATTATGCTCAGACTGTTCACCGACCCACCCTGCTAGAGCTGTGAGTCAATGTATTCATCATTTGTCATCTTTCTTTCTAACCACAATGGTAATATAATCTTATTAAGTTGTCAAAATAATTAAGTGGGCTCTACAACAAACTTGAAAACAAAAAAGAAGGAAACTACTAAGTAAATATTTTTAATTTTTTTATGTTGTTAGTATTTGATTTCTGTACCATAAAAGAACTGAGTACAGACCGGACTTTGGTATTGTTATGTTGTTATTCTTTTTGGTTTTTCAGGACAGGGTTTCTTTGTATAGCCGTGACTGTCCTGGAATTCACTCTGTAGACCACGCTGGTTTCAAACTCAGAGATCTGCCCACCTGCCTCTGCCTCTGCCTCTGCCTCCTGAGTGCTAGGATTAAAAGCATGCACCACCACCACCCAGCAGCAGTTTCTTGAAAAGTACGCTTTGTGTTAAAGCGTAAACTAAAATAAACTTTAAAAAGTGAGGGAAAAAATGGATGGAAGATGACAAGATAACTATGATGGATTGATGATGTTTTTAACCAACCATAGGTGAAGTATGTAATTTCTCTATGAAAAAATGCTTAAAATAAATTTCAATAATATGCTATAAAATATCACTTAATGATGATTATAATAAAAGTACTTGATATGACTAACTGAAAGAAAAAGAAAGTTTAAAAGTTATAAAGGAGGAGTACAAAGGAAAACAGAATACAGTGAAAGAACAAACAAGCTCTATAAACATGTAGATGGAAAACCTGCCATGCAGAAGTGAGAACAGAGAAAGTCTATATGGTGAGTGTTAGCCTCACATCTGCTGTGTACCAATGGCCCTACAGTTCAGGGGAGGTTCACACTGATCTTTGAGTTACTGGTTATCTAATAATTACCTACCCCATTCAAAGACTTCTCTCAATGGGGTACCCCACGTAACCCAAAGTAAGAACGCAGCAGCTTTTTCAAAACTAAAAGGGAGGGCCGTGGAGACAGCTCAGCAGGTAAGAAAGAGCTTGACACACAAAACTAGAGAGCTGAGTTTGATCCCCACAACTCATGCACATATGAGAGAAAAGACAAGGCTCTAGATGAAAAAGCGGGGGATTCCACAAAGTTGTCTTCTGACTGCCACACATACATCATGGCACATATATTCCTCCATCCCCCATGTACTAATAATAATGAGTAATTTTTTAATTATATTAATGGAATCTTATTATAATTTTTATAGACTATCATGGGGTGTGAGTTCAATGTTTTATTCAACTATCCAATCCCTCAGGCCAGTTTTCCACAATGTCAAGCTACCACACTTGCTCTTAAGGTATGTTTAACAGGCATTCTTCCTACACTTCTTAAATCCTCTGTGCTTAGCCCACAAAAACAAACAGGTGGCAGTAAAAGGAAAGGCTGTGTTCTCTCCTTCACCTTTTAACTCTGCCATTACAATTAATACATAACACAAAACTACTATTTTCTTCCTTTCCCTCCTGATTTAAATAAAATTTAAAAAGAAAAATGAACTCTGCTGGGCAACGTGGCAATGCACACCTGTAATCCCAGCACTCTCAGGAGGCAGAGGCAGGCGGATCTCTGTGAGTCTGAGGCCAGCCAGGTCTATAGAACAAATTCCAGCACACTCAGGGCTACAGAGAAACCCTGTCTCAAAAAACCAAATAATGGGAGGATGGGGGGAATGACAGACGGGGAATGAGAACGGATAGGGCTACAACCAGGATTTAAGGTGTATAAAAAAAAAAAGAAGAAAATATTTGTATAAGGCAAAAAACCTAATAATTCTAAACAGTCATTCATCTGTATCAACTATAACCTGACAGTAACGCCCACAATTTAGAATGCCAAGATTTTCTCTTACTTTTAAAAATGGCGACTCCTCCAACATGTCAAGAAACTCAGGGAAGTAATCTCCCACTTCTTCATCAACTGCTCCCACCAAGCTTATCTGTCGCATGGGGCCAGCTCTGTAAGTACCATGAGAATATGTTCTTTTTACCTGAGCGACATGAATTAATTAAAAGTTAGACATGAAGTATGTTATTGATGCTAACAATGAATTACATCATTTCAGACTACTAGAACATAATACAAGGCAAGAAAAAAAACAAAAAACAAAGGAAGCTTGTAAGAATATAAGAGATTTTAAAATAAGAAAAAAACTAATCAAGCCAGCTAATTCCCATTTCTATTTCTGCACACTGCTCATTAAAAAGTCCAAAGAAAATACTGTATAGACATCTGGCGGCACCATGTCCTCATAGCAGAAGAGTTCATTATTCGATACATACTGTCACAATATTCAAGATGACACACCTTCATTTTTCTATCTTTTATTACAACTATCAAATTACCCAATTATGAGTGATTTCTATGTCAAAAGATCACTAACTGGGGGCTCACATTTCTATCATGAACTCTGATGAAATGGTTGAAATACAAAGTTGAAAATCCAACACCACAAATTCACCTCTGCTATCAACCACCTAATTTCAGAGATCACATAAACTCCTTCCACTCTCATCTCATAACCCCAGACTGCAGAAAAGACGCATAATGCTCATTTATGTAAAGCACCTGTTAAACTGCAAGCCACCCTGTGACATCCAAACCTTCAAAACAAAGCAGCCTAAACCTTCTGGTTTACTTATACATGGATTTTCAAAGACATATTAAGTTTAATCCTCAGAGAACTATGCTTTTTTAATGTATGAACACTAGAAAAGGGTAGGTATTATTTTAAACTTCTTTTCAGACGCAAACTTTAAACAAAATCCCAATGATCATTTTCTATTCTGAAGTAAGACTTTGTGGCCACCATAGAGAGATGATGAACTGATCAGGTTGCCCAGGACCAACCTAGTTTAAAACTAAGTCGTACAATGCAGGCAGGCAAACCTAGATGAACAATTTTTTTTTTTTTTTTTGGTCTCATTATAAACTCTACACAACAGCAGTGGCATAGTATCAACAAATGCAAAGTATCTAACTACAACCCACATATTTTAAGGAACACAATAATAAATATTCCATTATACTAGAATAACTCTTAAGACATCAGAATTTTATTTTTATCATAATCAACAAGCATGGATTCTTTAATTTTTTATTAGAGTCAATATTAAGTTTGTTTACAAGTATTGCAAATTTAACTATTACCCATTAAAAATTCACTTCTCAGACTCATAAACCAAGCCCCAGGTCACAAAATACACAGATTATACCTCATTTTATAGTCAGGGTCTCATCTTTTTCTGTCTCCTAAAAGGTCTTATTGTTCCTAAATCAGCAATTCTCAACTTGTGAGTCATAACCCTCTTCAGGGTCACATATCAAATATCCTGCATACTAGATATTTATATTATAATTCATAACAGTAGCAAAATAACAGTTATAGAGTAGCAACAAAATAATTTTGTGGTTGGAGGTCACCATAACATGAGATCCCAACACTAGGAAGGTTGAGAAGCACTGCCCTGTATGAACAAAACTAAAATTTTAAACTTGACTTTCCAGCACTCTCATTTAAATGCACTATCAGCACCACAGTAGGAAATGTGGTCATGAGTGTGGTTCAGTCAGGCACGTTAACAAAGCTCAGGTTACCAACTCAACTCTAGAATACTACACCAGAATACTACACGAAACTCTGTTAAATGATTCTGCATTCCTGTCCTCTGCAAAGGACAGCATTAGCTCAGAGACTATAAGTAGTGAAATGAGGGGTGGAGGGTACAGATCTGTGGAAGGGCCCTTGCTCATTTCTAAAGTCCTGGTACTGACCCCCAAAAGAGGTGGAGAGAAGATAAAATAAAAAGTAAAAATCAATTTATATTTTAAGATATAAATTTTGCGAGGTTTCTGAAATATAACAAAGGGCAATGTAGGGAGATAACATTTCTATGTCATACAGGCAGATAAATACCCTGTGCATACATTAATTTAAATCAGATATTTAAATTTCACCTGTCACTAATCGGTTCCAAACACCAATAACTCCTTGGTACCCATGTATAAACAAAATGACAAAAAAAATAACAAAACATTATTAAGTTATGGAAAATGAGATGAATACATGTCTACTTTACTACCTAAGAATTAACAATGACCCATTAATGAAATATACATGGTTTATCATGAGAGGGAGAAAGTGGCCTTTGAGAAAGACTCTTCACTGAGGGAATTCTTCTGAAATAGTAAGCACAAGTTGATATGAGCACTCATGAAGACATGTGTATGTCTAATACACGTTTAAAGCAAAATCAAATGAACTTTTTATGCTATATGCAGGAATTAAATACACACACTAAGAAAACTGCCTAAAGTAAATTTAAGAGCTATTTAGGAGACAGGGGAAATGTAAGACTGAATTTATCAGTCAATGTAGCTAATATGTAAAAGAAGACACACTGTATCTGAAATAATTTCTCTAAAGTAAGAAGTTGCCTTGTACACCAGTATCATGTAACTGTTTTATATTCAAGTTAACTATTTTCTCACACACACACACACACACACACACACACCCATCAAAGAAAAAGAAAAAAAAAAGAGAAGGAGGGTCTGGTAGTGCACATCTTTAATTCCAGCACTCAGGAGGCAGAAGCGCAGATCTCTAAGCATTTAATTATGGCTTGTTTTATATAGCAAGTTCCAGGACTATGTATCATTAATTGAAGGAAAAAAAATCTCTTATCTGGAAAACCTCAAATCCTGACAACAGCTGTAACATATTTACTTCATTAAACCATCAACCTATTACTTTTCTGATACATTAAAAACCTAACTATCTACTTCTAAGAAGTAAACGTAGTGAATTTTAAAGACTATCTATATGGTTCCTCTAGATTTGGGCAGGAGGTAATTAGCTAGATCTAAATATATATATTTACACACACACATACATAATAAAGACAAGCATGATACATATAGTCATATACTTTTTGCAAAAATCTGTATCTACAGTGCCATCTAGAAGACAAGTAACATAAGTACATGAAAAAATTTTCAACATCATTACTCATTCAAAAATACAAGTAAAATACAGGCTGTAGCTCAGTTCGTAGAGTGCCTAGCATGCAAATATGCAAACCTCCCTGGGTTAGCCCACACCCCCACACTGCATGAAACCAAGTGTACTACTTAATCTAAATTTTCCCTATAGTCTCTCCTCTCTTAAAAAAACAAGATTATCATGGCTGCACGTTTACTTTTCTCCTTCTATATTCTCTATAATGTTTTTTTAAAAAAGAATGACAAACTATGAGAATTCTGGTTAAGTAAAAAGATATTACTTACTCTGGAACTACAATTCTATTCACCACTCCTCATATAATCTTTAGATAGAAGAGCCATCCTTACAATACCCATATGACACAAAAATAAAACTGCAGCCATTCTAAAAGGAAATCACAAGCAGAAACAAACTCCTAAGACTTTATGCTAGTTTGTGTTACATAGAAAGATTGCTCCAACAGGGCGAGCAAAGTGATAATGAGTGTTTTTAGAACATGAAAAAATGACTTACATGAAACAGCTTGTTATTTCCCAAAGTATGTTCCTTGAAACTAGGTTTCTATAGTCAAATAAGTTTGGAAAATCCTTCTGCATTGGAGGTTCGTATGTATGCTAAATTTTTAACAAGGCTCAAAGCAAATAAACGTAACATATTTGGTCGAGAAATACACACAGTATTATTTCAAAACCTGTTTATCTTGTAGTTTTATGCACCTAACAACATACCAAGACATTAAAAGCTCTTCTGAATAGTAACCCATAAAATACTTAAGAGACACACATTTAAACTTATGCATCAATTCAATTTGGAAGAAACAGAAATATAGGTTAAATGTCAGAGCTTAACGATGACAGAGTAAGGCAGAGGATATTTCTATCCTATTATTGCTCCTTTCAGAGAAGAGTCTTTCATTTTTATCAAGTAGGTTATTCAACACATTATATTTTACATCTACTTATTTGTTTGTTTATTTATTTGGTTTGTGTATGTATGTTCATGAGAAGGAAAGATAAAATTTGGGGTAGGGATTAAAATGTGTGCGGATATGCCAAGGCACATAAAAATGTGCAGTGTGGAGGTCACAAGAACACCCCCAGGAGTTGATTCTCTCCTTCTAATATGTAAATTCCAGGGATTAAGCTCAGGTTATGCTTGGTGGCAAATGCTCCCTGCCAAGCTATCTCCTAGGCCCCTGCTCATCACAGGCCTCTGCTCATCACATTCTTACTGATGCAATCTAACTACCACGTGACATAAAAGACATGCCATAAGAGGGAGCCACTTCTATGCCATACACGGCACATACTTTCAAACAGAACTATAATGGATAGCATTTAAAGTGGGGGAGGGGAAGCCAGAGGTAGAATCAGTTGCCTCCCTCAATCATTCTTCACCTTAATTTCTGAGACATGGTCTGTCACAGAACCAGGGATTTGAAGTTTTGGCTAGACTGGCTTGCTGACAGACCTCAAGGATCCTGCTCTCCCTGCTTCCCCAGCATTGGGATTACAAAAGTAAGTGCTCTGCCATCTAGGTTTGAGGGTGCTAGAGACATCATCAAGTCCCATGCTTATACCAGCAGGCACTTTACAGAGTGAGCTATCTCCTCAGCCCCCTTATTCATATCATTTTTAAAATATCCATAACTTCAATATAAATGTTATTACTATTCATTTTTAAATTAATAAAGACAGAATAATATACTTTCCCAAATACAGCCTCTGGTACCTGCCTCTAACAGATTGGATAGTTGTCTGTAGACACCTTATTGTACAACAGCATGGAAGCACTTCTTAACCCCAGCCCACTGTAATGTGGTTTTCTCACTGACTGACCCTTACCCATCCTTCTTCCTCCAGTATTCTTAGCCACTAGTAACTACCATTCATTCTGTGCTCAGCTAAGACATCCAACTTTTCTAGGTTTCATGCATGTGCCTTGTGGGATTGATCTGCCTGGCTTATTTCACTTAATGTAATGCT